TTAAGGCATCGAATTCCAAAGATATCAGTTTATCAATGCTCTGAAACCTTTCATAGCAGATTGCCTTTAAACTTATCCACGAATTAAGTTTGTCATGCGTGGATATTCTTCCCTCTGATCTGAAATGTAAAAGCGACACCGCGAATCAACGTACCTATCGCAAAAATATATTCAAGAGAAACCTTAATGCATACAACAAGGAGCGCCCTGCTTTCGATGACTGTTTCAGGCAGTTGAATGCTCAGTGGTAACAAATAGCGAGTGTTGGTACGCCACTTGAGGATTATTTTGAACTGCGACCTCAGCTGAAAGAATATTCTTGACGAACAGAACAGGGATTTCATATTCTCATATTATTGGGTGTCATATCCCTTCTTTGACTGATATTGTTTGTTGCTGCTCTTACGGCTTTTATCCCAATTGACTTAGCTCCCTTAAATGACTTTCAAGGGACTTGCCTCATTCCACCTCTGATCATCACTTTCTATCAGTTGTTTTAAATCGTCTTCCCTTGGTTCCGATGAAATTACAACGGCAACTCTGACAGCATTTCAGATCAAGCATGGCGAAGCAGTTCCTGTATTTAGTCAACGAATCTGTTGGCAGGCCATCTTCGTCAAGAGCCGTATTTCATCTCAGAAACATGATAACGACGTGTATCCTCGCGGCTGATGGAGATCTACAAAATGAGGGATATTGCTCACAAACTATTTGCGAAGCCCAGCTTTATTTGCAGCTGCCATCATGGTCGTAAAAGGTCGTCCTGAGAATAAGCACGACTGGCCAACGAATGGGTACAACTGAAACTGGCAGAATTGTTCATGTTCTCTTAGATATACGAGTGATTCACGTAAGAGATACTTTCATGAATAAGTCGTAGAAAATGCGGTATAGCCTGAAAATCTCATCGTACAATCTAACTTCAGGCCACAACTCATTGGGTAAGAAACCACCAATGAGCGTTACCAAGTGCTGAAAAAACATTCATATAATGGTAAGTGGAAACCAGGCAATGGCAATGTTAAATCCATCATCATGATTGCATGTGGAGAAAGCATCCTTCCTGCCTCTGAAAATCTGTTCATATCCAAACTATAGGGTGATCAGTAAAGAAAGAAATGTACATCCCGATATATCTGACTGGATGGATTTAATACTGTGCACTGACGAGCGCTGCGTAGCTGAGGGAACTGATAAGTCTGTGTGTGTG